GATCCAGTGTTTTCAAAATCCACAAATCCGCTTGATTTACGGCAAAAATCCACAATCTGCGTGCTTTTTAGGGCCAAATCCGTCAATCCAAACACCTATTCATCCCCCTCCTATAAGAAGCCTTTTGGTTAAGCATATGGGACAGTAGTAAAATGGTCTATAGTGACTTCTTTTCTCTCATGGTGAGAATTGTTTTTGATGTAAGAGCTGGTAAGCATTAGAATAATTGTATTTAGTTTCATACTTTTTGGCAGGATGCCTTGACACAAATAAATTACAATAATAGTAAGCAGGCTTATTCCAACAAGGCAAGCAGTGCCCAGTTAGCTATAATCATGTCATATCCAACAAGTGCCAGAGGAATAATTTTTTAATTAAAAAATATATCCCCCAATTTGGAAAACAAAAATGAAATTAAAGCCAAAATGTCCCCAAAAGTATGCATATGCTTCACATATTTGTAGAGCATGGTATAACTGCTCATATACCAGGAGTCAATGAAAACTCTTGAATTGCATTATCCAATGATCCAGTTTTTAACAATGACTATTGTTTCAGTTCTTGTCAAAAGACAATACATTTTGATCAGAAGTGGTTGGGTACTTTCAGCTGAATATGTTAAGACAGCATTCATTTCCAAATAAAAAAAGTAAATAATTTGCTTTAATTTGTGGTTTCGTTCTTGAAAAATGCAAAATGTGGTCATTTAATATTTTTTTTGCAGATGACAGCTATCATACATACCAAGATTTACAACCCAGCCTCGTCGCTGAATGGGCCACCCTGGCTAAATAAAGTTTACCTTTACCTTACCCACATGTACAGCTGTTGTAACAGTTTTTAACCTTTTGTTAGCTGTGTTCTTGTATTTGCACATTATCTCTACGAAATACTCACATGGTGTATTCAAGCCAAATCCAAACTAAATAGAGCTTCTGATTGTCTGAATGGGATGCTGTGTTTCTCTAAACTGATTATGATTTGTCTTTTCAAGTTTTTGTGGTGATTTATTTGGGGAATGTTAAAAAGCTGGAAATGAAAGGTTTAACCATACTGAGATAATTATATAGAGCATTTTCACTCATGTGGCCAGCACCCATGGAAATTCATTGGAACAAAGGAAGCATAAGAAAAGATTTCAACTCCAACAGGATTGGTTTGATACACCAACATGGCCACCATTCATTGTTTTGGAACACCAATGTGATGTTGTGAAAATGCTCTATAAGTTTATTCTACAAATTTTTGTCACCACAAATGGGACAGAGGTGTCCAAGAAAATTGTTCTCATTCTTTATTACACAAGTTTCATAACTTATTTGACTTGAAAATGCCATACAATGCTTTGTGAGTATCAACTGGAATGCAGGTAAAAAATGTCCAAGTTAAAATAAAGACCAGTATACACTAGTGGCCAAGACCAACATTCATGACCTAATCATTAAAACTACCACTCAGTGGACTATCTACACACTAATGGCTATTGGCCACTATAGAATACATGAGAAGGGTGTCTAGAGATTGGAGAGCTAACATTTTATTCAAGGACATGCATCAGAGGGTAGGAGAGGAACTTATATCATTCACTGGTGCATTGCAAATAAAGGTCTTCTAGTAATGTACATTGGTGAGGTATAACTGTCGCAGTACGAAATGGTGTGTTTTTGCTCAATGCACTCGCTTCTGTTGTCGGCTTCTATAGATATCATTCACAGGAGGTGCAGCAGAACTCTCGTCATCACTTTCATGATCAGCAACTGGTCGTTTAACACCACGTTTGTTTTGGTCAACCTCCATTCCATCTTCACTGCCCTCAACTCCATTCACAGGGCCTAACTCAGAGTCTGGCAATCCTGTGGTCACAACATGGATATAGTATTTATAAAGACAAAATTACATGTAAACAAAGCAGACAGGCTTAAAAAACGTTCTGGCTTTTAAGCAAATGAGTACTCCACCAAGAGTCAGGAAAATGGATTCTGGATCACAGATCAGAAATACATTAGAACCAATTGCCAGGCATGCCAGTAATGTTTCCAGTGTACAAAATCAGCAAAACTAATTGAATTTCAATTAACACCACAGTACTGCATGCCTTGTTGAACATTACAGTTTAAATTTGTGGATCATTTCAGTGGCAGCAAAGCTGATAAGTGACTTGCAAAGTAAACGTCTTGGAAGTTAAGGTGAGAGAGAAATGCAAGACTTAGTGGGACATCATAACCCCAGTGGTAAGAGTGACTCTAAAAACAAATGTTTTGATCTTAACTTTTTGAGCTAACAGGTTGTAATTATAAAATTAAAAAAAATCCAACAAAATGAGACACTTCTAGCAGGGCATTTATCAACACCCAGCATACACGATACTGCTGAGTTTGTTTAGTAGCAAATTTGACTGATACTGTTGAAGAAACGGCTGATGTTTTAAAATCAAAGTTTCCGTGCATTACAAACCTGAGGGTGGAAGATCTGGTATTTGACATTCCAAGGTCAACCTGATGAAATCTTCAACCATCACAAATGGACCCTGAAAACATTAGGAGAGATGCGGCTCAATAAATAACTAGTTACATACTAGGAAAACTAGCAAACTAGGAAAATAAGAAATCCTGGCTATAATTTTTCAAAAATGGCTCATTATAGATCTTTCCCGCATTCCAACAAACAATGGCACTGAGTCAAGGTCAGGGTGGACAAAAAAACAGCAAATGTATGAAAATGTCCACCCCAACCTTGCTCTGGTACTATTATTATTTTGGACACACTGAGGCAAAATGCTGGAAAGGTCTATTAAATGCATGTTCAACAAACAGAAGGCACCACAATTCTCATTTAATTGCTAAAGGAAGTGGCTTAGCCCATTTTGCTGGTCAATATGGCACTGGTATTTCTGACAATGACTACAAAAGTCATATCAGATTTTCACAGTGCATCCTGTGTGGAATGAATTACTGAAAAAAAATACTTACAGTAATCAAAAAGACCACTGTTAACACTTAATGACAGAGAATTAGAATAAAGTTACATTTTAACAACTTGTACATGTATGTGGAACTTCTCTAAGGAGGACATTGCACAGTTGGTATCTGTGAGGTAGATGGTGACCATCACTATTGGACCTATGTGTGTTGGTCCTAGGAACTGATTGTATTTCTCTTTACTTGTGACCCTTCCATTACATTATACACTGGTGGTTAAAAAAAATACCACACCTGAAAGCACGATGGAGGCGGTAACAAAGTCATAAGATGTGCAGCTGCTGGTGGCACTGGAAACACTCCACCAGGTACAGAATGAAGGCCAACTGCAAAGTAATGCAGCAAGTTTATTTTTACCAGTAATGGAATAAATCATGTATGAAAAATAAAAGGCTAATCTAATCCAAACCAGGACTTTTTTCCACATAATTTCTAGGTTACTATAATCATTATAAAAAGCCTTTTTGAGAGGGAGATAGGAGGGTATACCTGTCTATTACTTTTGGGTCTTACACCTGAAACTTGACAGATAGTACATGTAAGTAGGTGTTTCATATGTAGTAAAACCCTGCATGTAAGAACCTACAATTTTTGAAGTCTGGCAAAATAGGTTCTTTTATTTTGGAGCAGTTATTGGCAATTTAGGCTAAGTAGGTTCTTAATTAGGTTCTTAAAGGGGCTCAGTCATGGTGTGCACATTTTGAAAAGTTTAGCCTAAATTTTTCAAATTCGTCGTTTGCAATCCATGTCAATCTTCGCCATCCTTGACCATCCTTGTTCTTCCATGGTTTATTACTATCTCTTTGATGTTTTTCTATTATTTTCAGGTTTCCTTCCACTTAAAAGAGATTTTGTACGTGGCCTTTAATTTCTATGAAGGAGATATAGTTGATGATTACCAGAAAAATAAATAAACATAGGTTTGGTCCTTAAATATACAGTGTTTATAAACAACTGGGTTACAATAAGCCTAGCACAACTGGTTACAGAATGTGTATGTAGTGTTGTCTCTATAACAAGAGTTCCTGATTTAACTGTAACCAACATAAGAACCTCCTTGATCTTGCTTGGCGAAACAGGTTCTTATATTTTTGGGTATTAAAATGGGAAAGTTCTGCCTACAGGTTCTTAATCCACTAGGTTCTTACATGCAGGTTTTTACTGTACCATTTCCAAACACTGAAAAGAGAGTTGAAAATGCAATGCAGAGTATTTTTGATGAGCTTTGAGGTGTTTGGAAAATAATGAGGTGTAACACTGTTTCAATTGTTGGAGACATATTTTCGATAATTGAAACTAAACCTAAGGGGAGAACTGAGAAGTAAAATCAAAAAAGCTAATGTATATGTATGCTGATTAAGAGCACATTTCCACACAACACAATTTAAGTCGACAAATTATTCATGACTTTGAGACCCACTGCTCCTATTCCTGTATTTACCTAATATGATGATGGGCCACAAGTTTGTAATGTGCAAGCACAAGGATTTTGCATGTGGATTAAAAAGTGTGTTGTATGCTGGACTGTTTGCCTTGTTAAATTCATTTACTCGAGATTCATAATTGGTGCTGTTTCCCTAGTCATAACACTGGCTTTGCAGGAGATCTTATTCAATCAGTATATAAACTTGTAATGACTGGTTTTAGTCTTCCTACCAGCTCCTGCAGTTGGTTTGAATGGTGTCATCTGTGATGTGTCTGGTCTGGGAAATTTAACTGGCTTTTCTTCGCTCTGTTCATCTTGAGTAGTAACAGAGGAGAGAATGTTTGGCACACTGCCACTCTGTCTTGTGGAACCCTACAGACGGAATGAACCATGGTCAATTCTGTTGCTATATATACTAAATAGATGTTTCCTAACTGTAGACCGGAGACAAATTGATGTTTTGTTCCAGAAGCAATGTTTTTCTAGTTTTCAGTAAGTAATCAGATGACTCACTTCAGATTGTGGGACGAAGGGGTCTCAATAACTAACTTTTTCAACAGTCACTACATTCAAGTACACAGACATAAAAAGGCGACACTTGTTTGCCAGGTGTTTTTTAATTTGGGTTTGTACTGCACAGCCTTTAACACTTACTAGTGACAGCCCCCTTTTCAAGTATTATGGTTCAACAACAATATATGCAGCATGTATATCAGACAAGTAATTATTTAAATCAGAATCGTTAAAGTTGCCCGTATAACAGAATAGTAATCTGAACTGATTTTGATAGTTGTGTCACTTACCACATAGCCCATTATTTTTAGTTCCAATGGAGTACAAGGGAAGAGATCCAAGTACTTATAACGATCAACAAGCACTGATGTTTCATGGCCCTCTAATTCCTACAAAGTAAAAAGTAGTAATGAAACAGCTGAAGTGACCGAGAAGAGGAAAAGGGAAAGCTAAGGAAATATTTCAGCTTGCTGGTTACTGAAAGACCTAGATGAACACAAGACAAGCCAGCTCACCTCTTTGTAGATTTCAAGTTTTCTATTCTCCACCTTTACCAAGCTGGCTAAGTCACCACTTGTGGTTTCAAACTCCAGAAATTTTCCCCACACGTCACTGAAAAACACATACAGGATTCTCAAAACAGCAACGTGTAATAGGTTTACGAAAGCCTACTTCTGTACCAGAGCCAGCCCATAGAAAGTTTACTAAGTTGTCCAAGTTATCATTAACAAACCTCGCTTTGTCCTTAGGCATAGAACTCAGAACTTTCTCAAACAGTACTCTTGTGTTGTTGTCATCTGCAACAAATAAAGCCATGTCAAATAAATTTTTTAAAAAAACTAAGCTTAACCATAATCACACCTTCATGAGACTGACCAGTACTAATTCACTAGAAATTCAAAAATCAATTCAATACTTTTGCACACATCAACAAGTTTACTTATGATGTATGTGGGAAGACCACAAAAGTGTAAGAGTAGCACAGGCACAGCTGAGAGAAACCCTAGCTACTTGGGCACATCACAACACAGCTAAAGGCATGAATTGATAGTTTTACAACGTACAATGCCAACAGAAATATTAAACTTCAGCGGGGAAGCAAAGGAAACTTTCCTCATGCCATGAGTGTGCAGCATTGGATTATGATGCATGCTTTCAAATACTCAGCTTAATGACACAGCCCTGCTAGCTATGTTATTAATGGTATTAAGTTACTTCTGTCTTATCCCTCATGCCTATATTTCAAATAATCATGGAAAAAAAATGCACATTTTTCCATCCTCTAAACAAAGTACAGATACAAGTCATGTAAAGAAATGCAGGTTCAGTGCACTTACCATTTAAGTGTGATAAATAATCAACATAAGCCAACACATAGTCTGTTTCATTCATGTATTTCTGTTATTAAGAAAAAAGAAGATCAACTATTTTATAGGTTATATCTTTCCTAACTGCAAAAGTAGTGTATGGGGCTCTTAACTTGATGGATGAATAACATTCAGTTTCAGAAAATAATAATTTTCAGCAATACCTTTAAACCAAGTTCAAAGATCTTAAATGCAACTGCTTTGTCCTGAAATAAAACAACATTGATAGCTTTTTGTTATCAACCAATTTAAAACTATAAATAGGAAAGTACATAACTCATTAAAATGTGTTCATACAAGGCTAAAAGTTAATAAAATTTTAAAAACCAAAACGTTTTCAGCTGTACTGTCATCATCAGTGGTACATGATGTACCACTGATGATGACCATATGGTCGAAAATGTTTTGGTTTTCAAAATTTTAGTAACTTTTAGCCTGTTATAAACATCTAAAATGCAACTATTATGACATCATTAAAATGTATTCTTGGACTTACTTTACTGCAGTAATACTCCATAAGAGCAGCAGATATGAAAACCTGCAAACAAATAGATTGATAAGACTTGTTGTCCTTGAATAATTTATCACATTCACTCCTTTAATTGTTACCTACATGAAAATTTGTTCTAGAATCCTCCCTTGCCCTCTTGAAAATGGCACGGCTCTCTTTAATGCTTTCTGACCGTCTTGCAAATTTCATGTATTGGATATAAACCTGGAAGAACCATATGCCAGAAGAAAAATATTAACAGAGAAAAAATACTGATCAGGAAAGAGATTGAAGGCTATCACAGGAAAAAAAAAAACAGTCTGTACTCACCAGAGTTGGATCTATATTCTCAAGAGCTAAATACTTTTCATAAATTTCCTTTGCCTTCTGAAATTTCATCCTCCCCTGCTCAAGAAAATATCAATCATATTAAAAAATCTTTAGAAAAATAATATTTATAGATAACCATTGAAATCACTCTAGACTGAAGTAGACAGGAGTAGACTCATTCTGGATTGAGCTGGATTTGTTCTCCAAAACTTACACAAAGTTTCCAGCAAAATTGGTTACAACCCCCTTTACAGCCACAACTGGGGACAAGACTAATGATTAAAGACTGCTAGACCATTATTCTCACGTGACTCTACATACAGGTAAGAGAGGAGCTATATCAATTTGATGCAATCCAGTCCAGTCTAGCGCGTCAAGTCACTCAACCATCAAATTTGTTTTGGTGTGATCTGAATTAAATTAAACCCTTGAGGAGCTTACACGACATACCAAGTAAGTCATTATTTTTTCCTTAAGTGCTTATGAGACATAAAACTGGGTATGACACAATTCAGCACACCAGAAACAACTAGCATCAGCACATGAAATTTACAAAAAACTCTGTATAGATTGGTGAGCTTTTTGTTCCAAAGAGGATTTCACCTGTCACTGTGGCACACAAGTGATTAAGAATGTTTACAGATAGACAAGAATTATCACATTTTCTTAAACTTGGTTTTTTGGTGTCAGTGCTATCACAAACATTTTTGGTTACCTCTTCAAAGTCGGCATAAGCAAAATACAACAACATGCTGTGTTTCATCAGTCCTGTGATGGCTCTCTCGTACAGGGCTGCAGCTTCATCTCCTAGCACTTTAGATCCCTGCATGTCCTACAGTACAACAGACATACACATGACTGAAAAGTAGTTTGAAAGCCAACACATACACTGGGGTTCAGTCGGAAAAAACTATATAAACAAGTGTGTGGAATTGCTAATCAATTAATTAATGGAGAATGTACACTGCTTGCCTGTACAGTCTGTAGGTCAATGGTGGCTGTTATCTTTTAGCAAGCAGGGAAATAACTTTGGATCAGGAGGTTGTAACTTTGGTAATAGAAAGCCAATCTGAAAGGTTGTTTAACAAATCGTTACTGTAAAGCTATTTATGTATAGTTTTTAATCTTTAAATGAATATCTTTTATTGAAAGTGGCAACTGTAGTCAAATGTAATCCCAAATCTAAGCAATTTACATGGTGTAGTCTAAAATCCAAGATTAACACAAACTTAAACCACAAACTTACTCCTATAATAAATGCTGTGCTATATTAATGGAGTCTTAATAGAATTTGAAGCCACAAATAAACTATTGCCGTTGTAAACAAAACCACTAACCCCCTTGTCCATCATCTTCTGGCTGACTTGTTCCAGGTACAGTGCTGCTTCACACCACACATTGGGATGGAATCCCATTGTTTGTAGACACTGTTCATAAGCATACACCACTGCAACAGCACAATGTTGAGTATCTCATGATTATGATATGGATAAAAAAACTACTGTTTAACCCTCTGCAGAAATGATATCTCACTGTGTTATGTGGATTTTGAATAATTTGGCCACTAAAATTGCATAAGTACAGGTGTAGCTGAGATCCTTTAATAAAACTATTATAATTAACATTTTTATTCCAATAAATAATAAAAACAAAACATTACATATTTAATCTAACTGAAGACAATTTGTGAATAATGAAGTAAGCAAAAGAAGTTTTCAATATCGCGGTTCTGTGCTCTGGAACAGCTTGCCTTTAAGTGCTACGATACAGCCCACTCTTAGCTCTTTAAATCCTTTATATAATTAAGATTACATCACAATAACTAATAATTATATAGGATAATTTTTAATAGTTTTTAGTATAACTCTGTACAGATAATTAATTTAGTTACATTAGATAATTTAATTAGTTAAGTAAGCACGGCTTGATGGAAGAGCATGTCTGATGTGAATTGATATCGTGGATAAATAAAGAATACCTACCCACCTACCTTCCCCCAAAACCCATATTTTCCTTGGCACAAAGTCCTCCAAAAACAAGCCTCTCACCCCCACCCTTTAGAATTTGATAGCATGCCACCAGACAACTCTAACCTTCCAGCACAAACCTCTCTTAGTAAGAAGGGCAGTATCCTCTGTTCTCAATGGGTTACTCTTTTCCCAGGCAATATACTTCTTCCAAATTTGTAACTAACAGTTGAAACAAAAAACAGCAACTTAAGGTATAGGCTGGGACAAGATTGGCATTCAAATACACTTCAGTAAACTTCTGATAGTAACGACCCTCGTTACTTTTGGAATTAGCAGCCTTTGGGACTCACTACTTTCAGAGGGTCGCCACTTTCAGGAGGTCATTATACAAAAAACGTTATACAAAGTTGGTACAACTGAGCTTTTTTATGAAACAAAAGATGCAATTCATAACAAAACATTTTTTCTCAAAACGAGGTAAAAACTAGTCATTGTTCTAGTTTCATGTTTGTAACATATGGATGGCCTCTACATGTCTACATCGTGTTGTCTGTTGTAGGCCACAAGTTCTGCAAGCTTCTCCCGGAGTTCTTTTTTCAGCCCGTTAATCACCTTTTTTTCACACTGACATCATAGAAACAAGGAATCTCTATTCCTCCTCCTTAAGCTCCTTACACCCACACACCCTCAGGCGCACTCCTGCTTTTACCAGACTACCGCATGGGGGAATCAGCCGATTTTTCAATATTTTTTTAAGCTGAAACATATACGTTATTACCTAAGTTCCTGTTAAAAATGACATGAAGAGTTTTAAATTTTAATGCGAAGAAAAGTTCATTTTCCTGTTCACATGGCTATTGATTGGAGAATTAACTATATACCATTTTATTAAACCTTGTCTCGTTATTTTTGGCGGGTAGGTGGAGTTGGCGTGGGGCTGGGCTCGCTACTTTTAGGAGACTTGCTACTTTCACGGGGGTTGCTACTTTTGGGGGGGTCACTACTTATTGGGGGGGTCGCTACTTTGGGGGATTGCTACTTTCGGGATTTACTAGTAAGAGGCAACAATTTTTTATCGTTACTTTTGGGGGATCGCTACTTTCAGGGAGTCATAACTATGGGAAGTTTACGGTCACACACATTAAATGATATTTTATCTAGTTAGTAATCAGAGTATGGCAGCTAAATAATAATTAATTAGCTGCAATACACTGCGATTACTGACTAAATTTTTCCACCAACTGAACATCTGATGGTGTGTGGCCTGAGAGAGTGAGTCACTTGAATGATTTTTGTACTCTTTGAGTGGTATAGTACTGCCCTATGGTGGCTTAACTCCCGGGGGGAGGGGGGTACTCCCTTATATGGGCTATAGAGGTATGTGCGGCCCCAAAGATAGGGTTTTTCAGCCGTTTTGGTCATAAATAGGGTATTGATTTTGGCCATTTTGGTTATAAATAAGGTATGGTTTTAGCACCCTAGTCTTGAATTGGGTATGTTTCTTAGAAGCAGCTACCTTTTCATCTCTATTGATAAAACCCTCAACAAAAGCCCTTCGTAACTTATGTTCAGGGCAACTGTGTCAGCTGCAACAGTCATAAATAGGCTATCAAATTTTTGGACAGGTCACAAATAGGGTAGCAAAAAATGCAGATTTTGGTCATAAATAGGGTAAGGGTTTTGGGAAGTGGGCCGCACACCCCCACCCAACTTTTCTGGAAGTACCCC